GGGGGGGGGGGGGGGGGAAGCGGGGAGTGGGCCTGAAGTCGATCAACTTCTAGCACAATGGGGAGGCAGTGTGTGCAGAGCTAAAGCCAGAGGTAAGAAAGCATAGATTACTTTTAGGTGATCTAGATATAAAGATATCGCCAGAAACCCTGTTTTCAATAAAACTGAAGTCTTGTTAACCTGGAAGCTGCAAATAACTTGATGCATTCCTAGATTTCCTCAGCATCAGCCAATGCATTCAAAGTTCCCAGCTTTTAAAAGAAAAATTAAAAAAAGAGAGAGAGAGATGATGGGCAAAGTTTTCACCCAATTTTTTTGCACAAAGAAGACGTGGTTCTTGGCATCAAACTGCCGTGGATCCGACAAGGTTTCGATATATAAACCCCTAGTTCTGTTGGCCTCTAGACCAAGTTTGCACAGGGCCCGCGAAGGCAAAGCCATCTGCTGGCAATCCTAGACCCATCTCTACAATCCTGGCAGAAAACGAACGCTTGCGGCAGCCTCTTCTTAAACAAGGGAAGAAAAACATCCAAAAAGCACTCTGACGGGAGAGGCCAGCGGCACAGGAGCCCCTGGCTCAACCCCAAACCCCGCGGCCAGGCGAAGCCAGGTCCGGCACTTCTCCGGAGATCCTCTCGCACATCCAAAAGGAGAAACCCTGCGAGCCTGGAGCGGGGCTGGCGTCCACCAGCACTTCTGCAAACAGGGTCCCCGCCAGAAAGAGGGGGCTCTCTCTCCCCCTCTCACCAGAGAACACAAAAAGCGGGGTCCCCCCGGGGAGAGGATCTCGTTCTCTCTGTCCCCTGGGTGCTTTCCTGGGAGGAGGACCCGCGGGGCCGTGCACTCAGGAGGTGCCCAAACCGGGGAGCGGGGCGAGCTGGCACCTTCCCCAAACCCCTCTGCTGAACCTGGTGAAGAGGGAGAAGGGACCCCGCTGCGCCCGGGAGCCTGGAGGGCGACAGGGCACGGCGGCGGAGGTCTCCCCCGGCTGCAGGGGCAGGGGCAGGGCGGGGACGCGGGCGGGCGGGCGCGCACGTACTTGGGGTTGGCGGAGCTCCACGACACCGGCTCCAGGTTCTTGGCCAGCAGCGGCGCGGCGAAGCGGCACAGCGCTAGCAGCCCGCCC